CTGGGTGCTCCCCTTTTTTGGGAGCAGAGGGCTGGGTGCTCCCCTTTGGGGGGAGCTGCTCCCCTTTGGGGGGAGCAGAGGGCTGGGTGCTCCCCTTTGGAGGGTTCAGAGGGCTGAGTGCTCCCCTTTTTTGGGAGCAGAGGGCTGGGTGCTCCCCTTTGGAAGGAGCAGAGGGCTGGGTGCTCCCCTTTGGGGGGGGAGCAGAGGGCTGGGTGCTCCCCTTTAGGGGGTTCAGAGGGCTGGGTGCTCCCCACAGGCTGCTGCCCCACAGGTGGGCAGGGGCACAGTGCCAGCTCTGGGCATCAGGGCCTGGGGCTGTGGGGTGGGTTGTCCTTACCAGGCACTCGCCGAACCTCCAGGACTGCTCCTTCTTCAGCAGCTTCACGAGGTCCCTCCTCTTCAGGAACCAGGCTGCACCCAGCAGTGCCTCCCGAGAGACCTGCAGAGCAAGAGACCAGGACGTGGCATCGCAGCCCCGGGCACAGGACCCACGTCCCTGCACCAAAACCAGCAGGAGACTGGAGCCTTTGAGGTGCCAGGGCAGGAGGCAGCCCAGCCCCCTCCCATGGGACACCAGACCCTGCGAGTTCTCACCTCTGCCACGTGCTGGTTCTCGTGGTGCCAGTGGAAAAAAAGGGGCAGCAGGCTGCAGATCACGTGCGTCTTCAGGGGTTCTTTTCCCTCCTCCACTCCCAACTCCATCACCTTCTGGAAGAGCTGGATGGAGAGCAGCTGCACGGGGATGTGGTCCTGGTGGAAAGGGAGAGGAAAAGACCTCAGCTCCAGGTCTGCCGGGGCACAAACCTGGAATTCCACAGGCCACAGTTTCCTGGCAGCACCTGAGAGGGGGGGAACAGAGCCTTACATTGCCAAAAAGTGGTTGGAGCACCTCGGCCAGCTGCAGGGCAGTGGGGGTGGAGATTTGGATGTCTCTGTCCTGGACTTGGTTGATGAACACAGAGAGGGCCATCCTGACCAGCTCTCTGTCCGGATCCCACAGGACGCCCAGGAGGCTTTGGGTGAGGCTCCTCAGGCCGTCAGCCTGTGAGGAACACAATGCTGGGCTGTGAATCATGGAATCCTGGAATATCCCCAGTTGGAAGTGACCCACGAGGATCACTGAGTCCAACTCCTGGCCCTGCACAGGACCACGGCCAACAATCCCATCGTGTCCCTGAGGGTGTTGTCCTTGAGCTCTGGCAGCCTTGGGGCTGTGACCTCTCCCCAGTGGGGCCTGTTCCAGTGTCAGACCAGGGCTGTGACCTCTCCCCAGTGGGGCTTATTCCAGCATCAGAGCAGCCTCTGAGTGAAGAACCTTTCCCTACCACCCAACCTAAACCTCTCCCTACCACCCAACCTAAACCTTTCCCTACCACCCAACCTAAACCTCCCCTCAGCCCTCCCAAGCCCAAGCCACTGCACTCCCCAGCCCCAGGCTGCCGGCACAGCTTCATCCAGTCACCCCCTCCTCACCATCACGGGATCCTTGCTCAGCACCACGAGGCCCCTCAGCACCAGGCGACGCATCTCCGAGCACTCGCTCCACAGGCGCCTGGAGAGGATCTCCAGGAAGCTGTCGCTCCATTCGGTCATGTCTGGGCAGTCCAGGACCTGGAAGGCAGGGAGCAGTGATGGGGTGACCATCCAGCTGGGCCCAGGCAGCAGCACAGGGTGCAGGCACCATCCCGGGCAGTTGTGAGAAGGCAGAGAGGGGGAGGCAGGTCAGCAAGGCAGCGCTCAGCTCACCTCCACAAGGAATCAGACTCACCTCCACCAGGAATGCCACGGCGGGAAGCTCCCAGAGGGGCTTCTCCCTGGTGAGCAGCCCCAACAGGCAGAGGGCAATCCGGGAATACAGGGGGCTGGAGGCACGGCGCATCTCCCTGCCCGGGGGAAACGGGCACCATCAACCCCGAGCCGGGCGGGCAAACCTCTCCTGGGATGGACTCACAGAGTCCTGGTCTCTCCCCAGCACCCTGGCAGGGGATGAGGGCACTCTGGGAGGCGGCTCCTCCTGTGCCTCTGCCAGCCTTTGCCACTCTGCTCGGCCATCCCTGGGTGCCAAGGCCCTCTGGCCCACCACCACGGGCACTGGGTGGGGTGCCCTGTGCACAGGGGCAGCGGGGACAAGGGGGTCTCACCTGGCCAGCAGCCCCACTGCGTAGTGGTGGGTGTCAGAGTCGAGGAACGTGTCCCAGCCACGCTTCCTTTCCATGGAAACCACCACATCTTCACACTCCAGACGGCAAAGCAGGGCCTTGGTGGTCAGCACTGCGAACCTGTGTGCAGAGCAAAGCCCAGGTCATCATGCTGGGAGCCCTGAGCAGCCCTGAGGGCATGGGAGGGGCAGGACTGGCACGGAGCACCTCTTGGAGTTTGGGGGAAGGCTGCGTTGCTCCTGGCATTCCCTCCACAAGGCGTCAACTTCCCCCGGCATCTGCTCCGTGCTGATGGAAATCTGGAAGAGCAGATCCACGAGGAGACGGGGGGAATGCTCTGAAAACGGCTCTGGGCTCTGGAGCATCTGCAGGATCTCCCAAATCACCCTGGTCGCCTGCAAAAGATAAACCCCCCGGGCACAGCCCTCAGTGCCCAGATGTCCACGGGAAAGGGCCCAAGCGTGGCAGGGAGAGGCCAGGGAAGAACCAGCCCCCAGCCTGGTGCCCCTGAACCCGCCCCTGAGCCCCCTAGAAAGCAAATGTGATACAGCAATACGAAGAGTAGAGAGTTAAATTCAGAATACAGGTATAAGCAAGAGCACAAAGAATTTGGTCTTAGAACCCCGGCGCCCGAGGCAGGAGACACAGTGCTGGGGGAGGATGGAGAGCTGCTGGAGAAGCCCCCTGTGGGCAAGTAAAGCCCAGTTCCAGAAACTCACAGCCAGGGCAAAGACAGGTGTGTTGTCCCCGTCGGAGGTGGCCGTGCTGTGCCGTGGCCAGTCCTCCATCACGCAGAGCAGCTTGGGCAGCACCTTCTCCACTGTCATTTCCCACGAGGTGATGGTCCTCCACAGGATGGCAGCGGCTCTGCGGGGCCAGAGGTCTGTGTCAGGGGGGTGCCTTGAGGGCAGGGCTGGGAAACAGAGGCTCCAGATGGGCCTGGAACCCTCCATCCCTCTGGCAGAGCACGTGGCACAGGATGGACAGGGGGATGTGCTCTGAAGGCTGGTAAGCCCCGAGCCCTGAAGGCAGGGAGGCCCTGTACCTGTCACACGCTGGGGCACAGCGCAGGAGGGTCACCACCACATCATCAGGGTGTGCCTCAGTCACCCTCAGGAAATCCGTCAGCAGCTTCTCTTCCAGAGTCCCGCTGGCTGTCAGCCTCTGGTGCACGTTCCTGACGAAGGCTGGCACCTGCAGGAGGCAGGGGGGAAGAGCTGCCAACTTGCCCAGCTTCCCTGACAAGTGCTTCCCTTCCCACCGCACTGCGCTGGCCTCCAAGGCTGGAAGAGAGCCCCTGGAGTGGCTGAAGCCCTGGACACAGGCTGCTTACCTGCTCTGGGCTGGAGACACCGTTCTCCTCAAAAATATCTGGAGTGGGAGCATAATTCACATAATTCTCCCTGGGTGTGAGGTCAGTGCCTGCAATGCCCTCGGTCACTGCGGCGTCGGTGAGATGGGGCAGGGCAGGGTCAGAGTTTGTGGGTTCAGAGTTTGTGGGTTCGTCGCTCAGGGCGACGTCGGAGATCGCGGCGCGATCCAGCGAGGGGGTGTCGGTGTCTGTCGTAGCATCGGTCAAAGCAGGGTCAGACTTGGTTGTGTGAACAATCAGCGAGGTGTCACAGTTCCCTGTGCCATCAGTCAGCACGGTGGTGACCTCAGGGTCCACCTCCAGCTCGGTGAGGCTGGGGTGAGGCTGTGCCATGAGCTCAGTGGGGCTGGGCTCAGGCTGGTCCACGACCTCAGTTGGTGCTGTTGAGGTCCTTTTACGCCGAACGCCCACGAATTTCAGAAGGGTCTGCGGAAGAAGGGAGAGCAGGGAAGAGAGGGATGTGCTGTGGTGAGCTCCGACAGCGGTGCCAGGCTGAGCAGGGAGAGCAGGCCCAGCCCAGGAGGTGGTGGCTGCAGGTACCTGGGCTGCCCTGCGGAAGCGTCGACGGCCACGGTCCTGTTCTTGTGTTTGGTCCCGGCCTGGATCTGGCAAAGAGGGAGTGTGGTCAGAGCTGAGGGGCTGCGGGACAGGCCGGAGAACATGGCCCAGCCCTGCGCTCCACAGGCAGGGCCAGCCTGGCATTCCCAGGACATGGAGCTGCCAGGGATCAGTCCCAGGCCCAAGAACACGGCCCAGCCCCGCGCTCCAGCCCCAGCATTCCCAGGGCATGGAGCTGCCAGGGGAACAGCCCCGGGCCCTCTTCCCCCCTGCCTTTCCCTGGCCATGTCCACAGGGGACGGGATGGGATGAGGCCCAGCCAGCTGCAGCCACAGCCCTGTGTCAGCCACTCACCCTCCTGCAGGGGATGCTCCATCTCCTCAGGGTGCTGGGATGGGGCAGCTCCAGGCTCTTCCTTCTTCATCCGAGAGGGCCTGAGCAAGGTCAGGCGTCTTCCCGCCATCCCACGGTCCGGCCTGGAGGGCACCTGCAAGAGAGAGAGAGACACCTCGGAAGATCTCCGGGTCACCAAGTCGGGCAGGCTGCCCTCGAGGCCACCTCCTGCAGGGATTGGAGACCCCGGAAAATTCCCCGGGTCGCCGATCCCCACGGCCTGGCCTCGAGGGCGCCCGAAAGGGAGAAAAACCGGAGAAATGCGATGGGTTATCAAGTCCTACAGCCTGGCCTCGAGGGCACCTGAAAGATAGAAAAGCCTGGCAAACACTAGGGGTTAGAAAGTGCTGCAGTGTGGCCTCGAGGGCACCTGAAAAATAGAAAAGCCTGGCAAAGGCTGGGGGTTAGAAAGTGCTGCAGTGTGGCCTCGAGGGTGGCTGCCGCGGGGATTGGGGACACCTCGCAAAAGCTCCGTGTCCCCAAGTCCCACGGCCCGGCCTCGAGGGCACTTGCAGCACAGGGAAACCTCCAAAGTGCTCCGGGTCAGAAAGGAAGGAGTTGGCTGCACGGGGGCTCCGCACAGCTCGGCTCCGTCCCCTCTGTCCCGGTGCACGCTCCGGGGAGCACTGAGGGGTGGTCACCTCACCACCAGGACTGAGTCAGCACGGGTCACAAAGGGCCCTGGGACACCCTGCCCCGTGCCATGTCCACCCTGTCACAAAGGGTCCTGTG